GGCGGTGCGAGAGGACGCGGGGCCAGCCGGGCGGTGCGGAGCCGGGGGGGGGATGCGGGGCAGTGCGGGAGCGGGCGGTGCGGGGGGGGGGGCGCGGAGCCCCCGCGGGCGCGGTGCGGGCTCACGGCAGCGCATCGCCCCGCAAATGGTGCCCGGGGCGGGGGTGGGGGGAGCGGGTGAGCCCGCTCGGGGAGCGGCGGGGCTAAAATTAGCCAAGTGCGAAGAGTTTCGGGGAAACAACAATGAAAAAGTGCATCGGGGGCAGCCGGTTCGCCGTGTCCGGGGCGGTCCGAGGGCGCCTGGAACGGGATTTCTTTGGCGCGGACAGGCGCTCCCTGCCAGGGCCGGTGCCGCCGGCCGCTGCCGACGGGGGACGGCTCGCACGGAGGTTGGAAAATCGGATCCCAGCCCCGCGCAGGATATCCATAGAAACGGAGATTAAAGGGATGAAATAAGTTATTTTGTTCTAAACAATAATGTTGCTATAAATACGAGCGTTTTCCTTGTTCCCTTCCTGAAAAGCGCAGGGCATTTCAGCAGGCTCATCTCCTGACAAAACAAACCGGTGTACGCAGCCAGGCTGCAGATACCTTGCCCCCCGCGAAATCATTCCTTGTTTTTACTGGGAAATGGGCAAAACTGCGGTCTGTACCTGTCCCCTCTGGAATCAATAAGCCGCACGGTAATTTTCCAAATACAGCTACTTTCGCTGTTTTGCACTTCATCTGTAAAAGGGAAATATATCTTCCCCCCCTAAGTGAGTGATTGTAGATTATTTCTCAAATTGTATTTGATCACCGAGTGAATTTAGTGCTCGCTCAAGTCCGTGGGCTGACTGCTTGGAAATGGCTCTGTCTGTCTTTGGAGAAGTTACAGCAGACACAGCGGCAGAGCAATTGCCACAGATTATTTCCCAATCTGCTGCTGGCCTCCTTTGGAAGAGCACCATCAATTCAGCCTCCATTTCCACTTTTTGCTGAGGCTGCTGCTTACAAAGATACTAATTGCGATGGCGGGTTTTATGTTAATGGGTTCCACGTAATGATCAGCCCGACAACTACAGACCTTTGGGTTGTTAGTTGGCTGCACCGGGAATAAAACTAATGGCATTTGGTCATGAAAATGCCACCCTCCACCTGGTGATGAGGACTGGGGGCCCAAGGAGACCGAAATCCAAGAGCCGTGGGGCTGGACCCAGGGATGCCTTTGGAGAAGGAAACTCCTTTTCCTCCAGAAGTGCCATGCTTTGAGGGAGGGCAGCTCTGTGCTGGGGGGATGGTGGGGAGGTGTGGGGTGCCTGCCTGGGGTCCCCCCAGCTCCAGGGAGAGGGTTTGGGGTGCTGTGGAGCGACAGCGTCCGCAGGGACGGAGCTGCGCGAGCCTCCGAATTCTGACTAACACCGTAACCGGTTTGGTAGCTCTAAAATAGGATTTTAATCCTGGGAAGCATCATTTCACATTCCAGTGATCTAATCAAAATCCTTTCCTCTAATCTCTCCGTGGTCCCCCCTTTCTAGATGAAAGAGGCTGGAGTTCCTGTCTTCACCCTTTCTCCGCTGCCTCCCTGTTCTACCAGTCTGTTCTGTGTCCAGGCAACTGCAAAAAGACATTTCAAAGGCTCCTGCCGTGCCATGGAGATGTTTTCTCTTGTTAGTTTGGACTGCAGGTGTGTGAGCCTCGAGGATGAAGTATCGTGGTGCTTGTTTTAGGTTCGGGGCACACAGTCACGGCACAATAAATCACACAGTAATGCTCCGCTTTGAACACGCGCGCACGGAAAAGAGGAAAGAAAAAAGCATCTGACCTGAATCATTTTCTGGAAACACATCTGGTTAAAATCCAAAGTTTTAAATTGAGTAATATTTTAAAATACATTTGGTAGGTATTACATTACAGTGTTATATCTGGTAATATTTATGATACTAATGTGTTAAGCGGAGGTTTATATCTGTCAAGAAATATGAATGATTGTCATATGGGCTAACAAATGTATCCTGATATAAATAACGTTTTATGATATTTTTAACATTATTGTAGTCTCTTTTTTTTGCAGAACTTACAGTATTGCCAATTTGAAATAAAAGCTCTGTGGCTACATACCAAAGCTTTTAGCTATATAATTTTGAATAAGTATAAGCTGATTTTGGGAAGTGCTGAGAAACCTTAACTGTGCCGGGAGACAAACGCTGAGCACCTGTAATTCCTATTGTTTCCGTGCAGGCTCAAGTCCCTTATTTGCCATTTTGTGTGGCAGCAAGCCCAAGGAAATCTTGTTTGACAGCTCAGTTGTCTCAAAGTGCTGTATTTCTTCGGGCTGGATTCTGAAAAGATCCTGCAGGCTACAGAGCTCCTCGGAGCAAGTGGTTCTGTGCTTTGTGTTCCTGCTGAAACCCAGCTGTGTAAGGTGGGAGAGGGGTCTTGGAAAATTTGGCGCATCCTGGGAAGAAGACGGTTTGAATAAAGTTTTCTTGGATTATTATGTTTTGAGAAATCATTCTCATCTGGTCATTTGAGGAAGGATTTCCTAAGGTTAGATTTGATCTGTGTAAATGCTAACTTCTTTCAGCAGGCACTAATAGAGTACTGAGAAAGGAAGCACAGTGGATTTGAAGTTTAAATCTAAAATGATGGTAGTGACTAATGGTACTTCAGTAACACTTG